GGCATAATTTAAATGCTCAATATTCTGACTTTTGAAGTAGATGGAGGACCGTACTCCAGCTTCCAGCTTTGTGTAGGGGTTGTACATAGATGCCCGAGTTAATTAACAGTTACTCAGCACTACAGAGCCAACGAGAGCTTCACAGAGGAAAAACCGCATCGCTCAGATTACCAAAGCGCCGTACCTTCCCTCCTCTTTCGACAGTCTCATGAACTTTCTTCAAGAAGTCTCTTTCTCTGCAGCGTTTGGAATCTCTGATAGTTGTGGCATAGGTGGATTCAGTTATTAATAAATCCGGGCGACACTTATCAACCCAGGCAGCACTAAAAGAAAAGGAATTCAAAAAAACCAATCAAATTAGGAGATGGTATCTAGCATTTCTGATCTGCAGGTCTCAAAGACGGGTGGACAATGTCACTGTCTCCACTTGCAGACAGGAAAGCAGGTACATGGATGTGTGCTGGCTTGCTCAAAGTCACCCAGGAGTTCTGTGGCAGCACCAGGACTCCTCTTTTTGCAGGCCATGCTTTCTTTCAATTAATCCAGCTCAGAATAGAGACTACAGATTTTGAAAAGCAATTCTTCTCCAGGCTGATACTTATTTTAAATGTATTAAAATATTATTCTAAATAGCATGAATATTATGAATCTCCCATATATTCCAGTAAAAATAAAATGCACGTTAGTGATTGGCACTTTCTTAGAAAGTAAATACATTTAGAAGATACCACAACAATATAACATTTCAAACATCTAAGATCAATTATTACGTAGCCTTAAAAAACGATTAATACGAGTATTCAGAATGAGATTATATTAAGGTCTCTCTGGAAGCATCAGTGTAAATCTGTTCATTCTCATAATTCAAAATTGCATTTATCGTTCCACCAAAGACATCATTAAATGTTCCAATCTCCTAACAAAGAACCAACGCTGGTAAGCCCCTAGGATTAACAGCAGCTATGCCAAAATCATCCTGTCAGAAATACACACAATTCACAGAAACTCGGCTTCCTACTTACCCCAAGTGTCTGTCTGGTGTCATGTTATAATCGCCCTAATGGAAGAAGAGAGATCCATTAACAGTCTCAAGGGACAGGCCGTTAGAAGGAGGTGCAGGTGTCTATAAGTATTGGTGTCCATACTCACAGTGTACACGACCGACTCGCATCCAACCTTAATCTGGAACATGGCTGCTCCTAGCACGTGGCCTGCATAGTATGCCTTGATCTCCAGCTCCTCATCCACCTGCACGGAGAAGCAAACGCTGCATCAGCGCCCGCACTTTGAAAAGGTAAAATTGCTCTGCCTTCTACAACAGCCCGGTCGGTCCGATCCAAGAGTACGCAGACACGAACATTTACCTGAACTGTCTGGTGAAGATGCACAGCAACCACTTTTTTCATACAGTCTTTAATCATTTGGGAAGTGAAGAAGTTCGTTTCCCCTTTCTTATCTACAGTTATTTTCCTGTAGTCCTCCAGGAGGATGGGACAGATGGCCTTGGTAGGATGCGTCATGTAAATGGGCCCATCGTAACCGACCATTTCGCTGAAATACGGTAACGCTCCACAATGGTCCAAATGAAAGTGGCTGCAGAGAGACACAAAGGCTAAAGGAGATGCTGCACAGGAATTTGTTGCCTGGTTCTCAGATCTCGCGTCAGATTGTTAAAGTGCTGCATGACACAGAGGCACCAGCCAAAACGTGAATGATGAACTCACACCACGTTTGGGTTGCTAGGGTCAGCAGACAAAGCTTTCCCGCTTCCCACGTGAGCTCTGAGCAGGAAGGAAGCTTCCTCACCTGATGATCACGCAGTCTAGGAAGTCGGTCAGCCTTCCGTTCTGAGTGATGTAGGAAAAGTCAGGAAAGCGTCTCTGCAAGACACGAAAAACCAGGTAAACCATTACGAAACCGAGCCAGCCAACGCTACACCACTAACCCAGCAGAACCGTGGTGTGAAGGACCTGAAACGCTCTGCAGGAGGGCAGCAGAAGGGCCCGCAACACGGGAAGAGCTGCGGGCAACACCATCAGCGGTTACGTGCAGACAGAGTCGCAGAGGAGGAGGATGGGAGGGCTGCCGGAGGACAGGCAGGGACACTGTCCTCACAAATAACCAGTTACAGCCAAGTTCATCTTCAAACAGGCAGGCAGCGCGTTTTAGCTTACCCACAGGCATCAAGGCAGAACGCCTCAAAACCTCTTCTGTAAGGGCACGCTTGCTCTGCATCACGCTTTAACTCCTCCTGTCCTGCAGAGTATTTCTGCCATTACTCCCTTCCTGCTAGCATCAGGGGAGCAAACATCAGGAGCGTTTCCCAGCTCGCTCCCTAAAGCACCAAAGTGTGGGTCCCACAAGTCATTAACTGCCTAAAAGCCAGCAGCACATCAAGAGCGCTCTAGCTAACGACAGGATGAATGCTTTGAAGCACAGAAGACACCTGCCCATATGAAATAAAGACCAAAACCACCAGGAATGGAGCACCCGCACTTTGCTTCATGTTCTTCCAGAGTCCACGACCCAGGGAAAGGACGGCTGGATGGCAGTGCTTCACAGACCAGGGACACTGAAGGGGATGGACCTCTTGCACAGGACGGCAAGATTTTGAAGGGGCAGCACGAGGTCATTCTCTCCATAACCCAGCTCCAGCAGTGGCCGATACACGCACCCGGTAACGCACACCTAGCTAATATTACCCACGTGCCACGCGAGACGAGGCGGGCAGCGCTGGGATAAAAGGGAGCAGAGCAGAACGACGAGCCAGGAGCCCTGCTGGGAAAGGCCAGGCAGACGCGCCTTGAAGGCGTCTCTACGCAACGCTCGGGCTCCTCCGCCGTACTCACGTCATCGTTGTAGCCCATGTGCATCCCACAGTCGAGCATCACGTTCTTCCCGGCAATAGACACGAGGATGCAGCTGCGCCCCACGTCCTGGCCCGCTCCTGGACCCAAGCAGAAGACAGACAAGTGAGACATCTCTGGCAATATTTACAATCACCTCAAAAGAGAAGCAGTTAAAGGTCCGTACAAACTTCCTAGCCCTCTTCTGATGCAGGAAAAGACTACACGCTTTCTGCCAAGCCAGCAGATCTGTTAGAGGGCGAGGAAATGTGAGTGGACTCACCCCACGCCCTGCGCTTTTGAGCGCCTTCCAGCTGCAAAACTGCAGCAACTACAGCACCACGTCCTAACCCACACGCAGTTCCCATGTTTGCTCCCTGCCCGCTGCTCTGCAGCTAGGCAATTCCAAGGAAGAGCAAAATAACCTCTTCTCTGGAAGGGATGAGCGCGGAACTCCAAGTTCCCAGGGCTCTGCACCTCCCCAGGCACTCTGCCTCTCGGGGAAAGCACAGGCCTTCGTTAAGCTCTAGTTAAGCCCATTCCTAGCCAGAACACCATGCATCAGGATAAAGCAGTTCTCCTGCTCGGCACATCATCTCCCTGCTCAGTACATAAATGCATCTCAACACTTTCTGTGCAACCCATAAAGAAAAAAAAAAAAAGGAAGAATTTGCTTCCTGGGGATCTTTTGCGCTGTGAAGCGACCCAACGCTCTATCCGCACTGTACAGTACTACAACACCTTTACCAGTATGTGTTAATGAATCTTGGAATCAGAACAGAGTTACCAGACTGTTCGAGCCTTCCTTGCTCGAAAGACAAGGGGAGGACAACGACACACCGGCGAGATGCTGCGCAATGCTACCACATCACGCCATGCACCGCCCTACACAGCTTTTGCAGCATGGACAGGCCCGTATGTCTCCAGCAGTCCAACATGCATGATTTCCAACTCTAAATTAATTCCAACACTTTTCAGTGTTTCTATTTCAGGATGATTTCGGATTGGACTTACCCAAGGGAGTGACTTTTATTTCAGGCATTTTAACAAGCTCTAGTGGTCGAACTGCAGGGCAGGTGACTTCGGGACCAGTCTAACGGGGGCCACAGAAAGATTTAGCTGGTTTTACCACTGCCATTGCACTTCTTTCTCAGTGCCGGGCAGCAGGCTCGAGCAGAGGCCCAGCTTCTTCCTAGAGAGAAGACAAGCC